AGTGAGGTGCATTAAAAGTACTACTTTTCGTGTGCCACACACCCAGAATTCCGCGCGGCACGCTAAGATCAAATCTTTTTTTCACTGATTTTTTTGACTCGTGCGACGGACGTTGCCAAAAAGGAAGGAACGCAAGCAGTCTACCAAAAAAACTGTTGTACTTTCTGGGTGCCCTTCGTCAAAGTGAATCGCTCTGACGAAGGGCTAGCACTCGAAAAATCAGCTTAAAAATCTCTTTTATGGTGACCAGATTACACTATCAGCTCAGATGATAGAACCAAATTATACTAACAGCCGAATTAGGCAAATCACTAGATCTCTGCGAAGAATCCACGGTGAATTAATAGTGATAACACTCGGCAATCAACCAATAAGACTTCAGAATTTCGTCCAGCCAACTCAGTCTCGCCATTATTTTAACAACTTTTTTTTTTTTATCCATTTTAGCTTTCTATATCAAGTGATCTTTCAAGAGCTGACAGGAGACTGGTGACGGCGAGACTGAGAGAAAGATGAATTTTATATATTGAAAAAGCGAATAATTTATTTATTATGTATCGAAGTAGGGTAAGACCTGTTCAATTGTAAATACGCTGGATGGAAGTAATTGTTTAGCGTTCAGAGCATTCCTTGTTGAGAGGAAGTCGTAAGGACACAGTCATTATTTAATGAAATAAATTTTTAACCACCAACTTCAAATTGTTTTTTAGTTTATATGCCTGCTATAGTATCCAACTTTCTTGTCAAGTCTCTCTTGACAGACACCTCTTTAAGACAGACATTTAGAGATTCATTCTTGTCACACCCGATCAAAATAAATGTCTACATCATGCGATGCTGATCAAAACGTTAAGTATCAACATGTTAATGCTTCCAAGTAATGGAAAAGGTGGATGACCAAGTAAGATTTGTTTAAAGAGGGTAAGCTTCCAAGAACTGAGGTGCTGTGTCGGTGGAGAAGTATAACAAGATAATTTTGGTTTTATCAACTGAGTTGATAATGTAAATGTTTCGAAACTGATGTTTCGATCTTTAGCTCTCATTCCTTCGCTCTAACGAAGGACTAACTGTCGAAACATCAGCTTTGAAACTCTTTACGCTTGCCAATTTACATTAT